TAGCTTTGTACTTAATTACTAACTAACAAACAAACAAACAAACAATAGTTGGTGGGAGGGTACCGTTGATAGGTGTCTTCAGTACAGTCAATTGGTTAAACATTAAGGATGGTTAGCGCAAATAACTCCTGTTTAACTTTGTGTGAATATCCGAAACAAACAAACTCTGCAGCATCACTGACAAAAAAGAAAGAAAGAAAGAAGCACTTTAGAAAAAAAAGATATTGGATGTAAAGTTTTTATGTATATTGGTACTCTTTATTTAATCTTTCTGAAACTATCTTGGAAGTTTCATTTAACTCACTAAGTTTCGTTTTCCTACGCTCACAAAAAATATACGCAATTAAAAAACAAAAATTCAGTTGGTTGTAATTAAGCTATTAGTGCTCTGCCCACCACGGGTATCGAAACCCGGTTTCTATCGTCGTGAGACACTAGGAGCACAAAATTCAGAGCTATTTTATATTTTTTGTGTATTCTCTGGAGCCATTTGCTCATACACACACACATCTTATGTCTTACAATCATTTGCATCAAGGTTTTCTTTGAATATTTCAATGTATGATTTTGAACTATAGTTACTCAAAAGTCAATAGTCAATACTTAAAATCGATTATCATTATGAAACAATAAAAATTAGTAGCACTTAAAATTTTTTTAAATAAGAAAAAAAACGTTCCAGTATTTCAAATATTCAATAAATGTAAGAAAGTTTAAATATTTTTTGAATAACATACTTTCCACAGTGGCAATACCAAGTAACATAGTTACAGTGCTTATAGCGTAAGATCATATACAAAAGATCTACTGTATGCATTATTTAATGTATTAGCTTACGCAATTTTTTGTAAAGGTATGGATTTTTGTTAGTTTTTTTTTGTGTTTGTGTGTGTGTGTGTAAAAATACCCTAGCAAGTTTATACAGCTAGTATTGTGAATTTACACTTGAGGTTATATACTACTTTCTGTGTATCGTTACACAAAGTTTTACTGTGTGAATTTACACAGTGAGCTTACGTACTACGTTCTTCATAATGTTACACAGATGTTTACAGTGTATCACTCGATTTACGAACGTTCGGTTTACAATATTGCGCTATAACGTAATAAACTATTATGGGCATGTTTTTCGATATGCGTTCGCATTTTTTGTTGTAACGAAAAATTCCATAAAAGTCGTAAGAAAATTTTGGCCGTTATTAACAATTTTTCACTATTACAAATTCAAATAGTTAAAAAGTTAGTTTTTCTCTGTTTTAATATTTAAATACCTTTAGTTACTGGGTCATTTTTCACTACTACGTAATTCAAATTCAGCATCATTCACTGTATCGGATTTTTAGGTCCGATTTTGTTGGACTTGGGAAGGTCGAGTGCATATTTGACCTATTCCCCTTCTCCATGCGGCATATTTTCACTCATTTACTTATATTGCTTGTTATTAGATGTTACAGATTTCGTGTTTCATTTGTTTTCCTTCTAAGATATTTTGGTACTTTTTATTGTTTAAACTTCTGCTTCTTGGTATTGTTGTTTGGTCGAGTATACACACTCTAAGGATGTTGTGTCCAGGTTGCTGAGGTTTTATTTAATCCTCATAAAAAAATTCTGGTGATAATTCCCACACTTACACAATGCTAGATTTATTATCTTAGCGTCCGTAAATAAAGTTTCGCATTGCCATTTTAAGGCCTTTTCCATATTATGGGCTGATATAATCAGTTTCACATGATTACACACACATCGCTGATGAAGGTTTACACAAAGTCCTACGTTCACACTATAGTCAATTTCAGTAATAATGTATTATACACAAACACATTTATTTTAGTACACATAAAATAAACCTTTTTTAGAAATAAATTTATAAATGTATCGGTCAAACTTTTGGGTCAGGAACGAATCCCCTATTTTTTTTGCCTTTAAAATAATGGGAAAAACATTTTCAATTTACGTTTTTTCGTTATATGTTGTGTTTTCCAGGAGCGTATCAATTCGTAAATCGATGGATAACTGTATATATATAATATTCATAACATCTTTATTACTCATATTTTTAGAACAAAGTAATACTAATATCACCCGTACATGATATTCCTAAAAGAGGTGTTGCGTTTATAACAACAATAACCACAGGAAGGCAGAATCTAATTAACCGACAGTGTATTGTTGAAGGAAGACAAATGTGTGAAAACCGTCAGTTTGTGGAGTAGATAAAGCGTTGAAAGTGTTGTAACTCGCGTCAACGAAATGACAAAATCAGAAACACTAATTACAACTATTTACAACTGTTAGCTTTCAACTTAAACAGACTCTTTACTATTAGAAAAATTATAACTAAACAAAACCGTTTAGCGCGTAACCCACGATGCAAACA